GTTTTTTTTTTTTTTTTTTTTTTTTTTTTTCAACAAGTCGGCCGTCTCCCACCGAGGCAGGGTGACCCAAAAAAAAGAAAGAAAATCCCAAAAGAAAATACTTTCATCATCATTCAACACTTTCACCACACTCGCACATTATCACTGTTTTTGCAGAGGTGCTCAGAATACAACAGTCTAGAAGCATACACATATAAAGATACAAACATATCCCTCCAAACTGCCAATATCCCAAACCCCTCCTTTAAAGTGCAGGCATTGTACTTCCCATTTCCAGGACTCAAGTCCGACTATATGAAAATAACCGGTTTCCCTGAATCCCTTCACTAAATTTTTACCCTGTCACACTCCAAAGATCGTCAGGTCCCAAGTACCATTCGTCTCCATTCACTCCTATCTAACATGCTCACGCACGCTTGCTGGAAGTCCAAGCCCTTACCCACAAAACCTCCTTTACCCCCTCTCTCCAACCCTTTCGAGGACGACCCTACCCCGCCTTCCTTCCCCTATAGATTTATATGCTTTCCATGTCATTCTACTTTGATCCATTCTCTCTAAATGACCAAACCACCTCAACAACCCCTCTTCTGCCTCTGACTAATACTTTTATTAACTCCACACCTTCTCCTAATTTCCACACTCCGAATTTTCTGCATAATATTTACACCACACATTGCCCTTAAACAGGACATCTCCACTGCCTCCAACGTCTCCTCGCTGCTGCATTTACCACCCAAGCTTCACACCCATATAAGAGTGTTGGTACTACTATACTTTCATACTTTCCCTTCTTTGCCTCCATAGATAACATTTTTTGACTCCACATATACCTCAACGCACCACTCACCTTTTTTCCCTCATCAATTCTATGATTAACCTCATCCTTCATAAATCCATCCGCCGACACGTCAACTCCCAAGTATCTGAAAACATTCACTTCTTCCATACCCCTCCTCCCCAATTTGATATCCAATTTTTCTTTATCTAAATCATTTGACACCCTCATCACCTTACTCTTTTCTATGTTCACTTTCACTTTCTACCTTTACACACATTCCCAAACTCATCCACTAACCTTTGCAATTTTTCTTTAGAACCTCCCATAAGCACAGTATCATCAGCAAAAAGTAACTGTGTCAATTCCCATTTTGAATTTGATTCCCCATAATTTAATCCCACCCCTCTCCCAAACACCCTAGCATTTACTTCCTTTACAACCCCATCTATAAATATATTAAACAACCATGGTGACATTACACATCCCTGTCTAAGACCTACTTTTACCGGGAAGTAGTCTCCCTCTCTTCTACACACCCTAACCTGAGCCTCACTATCCTCATAAAAACTCTTTACAGCATTTAATAACTTACCACCTATTCCATATACTTGCAACATCTGCCACATTGCTCCTCTATCCACTCTATCATATGCCTTTTCTAAATCCATAAATGCAATAAAAACTTCCCTATCTTTATCTAAATACTGTTCACATATATGCTTCAATGTAAACACCTGATCTACACATCCCCTACCCACTCTAAAACCTCCTTGCTCATCCGCAATCCTACATTCTGTCTTACCTCTAATTCTTTCAATTATAACCCTACCGTACACTTTTCCTGGTATACTCAGTAAGCTTATTCCTCTATAATTTTTACAGTCTCTTTTGTCCCCTTTCCCTTTATATAAAGGGACTTATACATGCTCTCTGCCAATCCCTAGGTACCTTCCCTCTTTCATACATTTATTAAACAAAAGTACCAACCACTCCAACACTATATCCCCCCCCTGCTTTTAACATTTCTGTCATGATCCCATCAGTTCCAGCTGCTTTACCCCCTTTCATTTTACGTAATGCCTCACGTACCTCCCCCACACTTACATTCTGCTCTTCTTCACTCCTAAAAGATGGTATACCTCCCTGACCAGTGCATGAAATTACTGCCTCTGTTTCTTCCTTAACATTTAAAAGTTCCTCAAAATATTCTCGCCATCTACCCAATACCTCCATCTCCCCATCTACTAACTCCCCTACTCTGTTTTTAACTGACAAATCCATATTTTCCCTAGGCTTTCTTAACTTGTTTAACTCACTCCAAAATTTTTTCTTATTTTCATTAAAATTTCTTGACAGTGCCTCTCCCACTCTATCATCTGCTCTCCTTTTGCACTCTCTCACCACTCTCTTTACCTTTCTTTTACTCTCCATATACTCTGTCTTCTTATAACACTTCTGCTTTGTAAAAACCTCTCATAAGCTACCTTTTTCTCTTTTATCACACCCTTTACTTCATCATTCCACCAATCACTCCTCTTTCCTCCTGCCCCCACCCTCCTATAACCACAAACTTCTGCCCACATTCTAATACTGCATTTTTAAAACTATTCCAACCCTCTTCAACCCCCCACTACTCATCTTTGCACTAGCCCACCTTTCTGCCAATAGTCGCTTATATCTCACCCGAACTTCCTCCTCCCTTAGTTTATACACTTTCACCTCCCTCTTACTTGTTGTTGCCACCTTCCTCTTTTCCCATCTACCTCTTACTCTAACTGTAGCTACAACTAAATAATGATCCGATATATCAGTTGCCCCCCTATAAACATGTACATCCTGGAGCCTACCCATCAACCTTTTATCCACCAATACATAATCTAATAAACTACTTTCATTACGTGCTACATCATACCTTGTATATTTATTTATCCTCTTTTTCATAAAATATGTATTACTTATTACCAAATTTCTTTCTACACATAGCTCAATTAAAGGCTCCCCATTTACATTTACCCCTGGCACCCCAAATTTACCTACTACTCCTTCCATAACATTTTTACCCACTTTAGCATTGAAATCCCCAACCACCATTACTCTCACACTTGGTTCAAAACTCCCCACGCATTCACTCAACATTTCCCAAAATCTCTCTCTCTCCTCTACACTTCTCTCTTCTCCAGGTGCATACACGCTTATTATAACCCACTTTTCACATCCAATCTTTATTTTACTCCACATAATCCTTGAATTAATACATTTATAGTCCCTCTTTTCCTGCCATAGCTTATCCTTCAACATTATTGCTACTCCTTCTTTAGCTCTAACTCTATTTGAAACCCCTGACCTAATCCCATTTATTCCTCTCCACTGAAACTCTCCCACCCCCTTCAGCTTTGTTTCACTTAAAGCCAGGACATCCAGCTTCTTCTCATTCATAACATCTACAATCATCTCTTTCTTATCATCTGCACAACATCCAACATGTGCGTGTCTGTGAAGTGTGACCAAAGTGTAAGTAGGAGTAGCAAGATATCCCTGTTATCTAGCATGTTTATGAGACAGAAAAAGAAAACAGCAATCCTACCATCATGCAAAACAGTTACAGGTTTCTGTTTCACAGTCATCTGGCAGGACGGTAGTACTTCCCTGGGTGGTTGCTGTCTACCAACCTACTACCTATAAGCAAGGAAATTTATAAAGAGGATATTTTAGCTGCCCAACAAAAAAAGACCAAGAGGTCACAATTATCAACTGAGAAAGGGGTTTTGAAAATGGGCACTAAAAAATATTTTAAAACATTGTAGTATTAGATTACAGGAATATAATCCAAGATAAGGTATGGCACAAATACTAGAAACATTTAGTATATAACATTGCTGTTTCCCATCAAGGTAGTGGGGTTCGAAGAAGAAAATGCATTCACTATACTGTATAACAAAATTATGTGCTGAAGATAGGATACCACGAGCTTAGCTCAACTTGTAACTATGAAGTGGTAATCATATGACAAAAAAATTATTTTGGATCCAGCAAATAGGAAGACAAAAGAACACAAGTTTAAAATGTCTTCTGTACTGTCTGTCAATGATTACAAAGAATATATTTCATAAATATGGTAGTTGAAGAGTGGAATAAACTCTAGGAGGACATTGTAAGTACATTATTGCAAGATTTATTAATATAATAAATTAAAAAGAAGACCTTATAAGTATAGTTTTACTCTTAAAACAACCAATAGACAATTACATGTACAGTATATGACCACATAGTGTGAAGAGGCACTCATTACTCTATTTTTTTTTTTCAACAAACTGGCCATATCCCACCAAAAAGAAAACAAAAAGAAAAACAAAAGTTTCTCTTTTTAAATTTAGTAATTTATACAGGAGAAGGGGTTACTAGCCCCTTGCTCCCGGCATTTTAGTCGCCTCTTACAACATGCATAGCTTACGGAGAAAGAATTCTGTTCCACTTTCCCATGGAGATAAGAGGAAATAAATAAGAACAAGAACTATTAAGAAAACAGAAGAAAACCCAGAGGGATGTGTATATATATATGCTTGTACATGTATGTGTAGTGTGACCTAAGTGTAAGTAGAAGTAGCAAGACGTATCTGAAACCTTGCATGTTTATGAGACAAAAAGTGGACACCAGCAATCCTACCATCATGTAAAACAATTACAGGCTTTTGTTTTACACTCACTCGGCAGGACGGTAGTACCTCCCTGGGCAGTTGCTGTCTACCAACCTACTACCTAGGTCATTGCTCTATATGTAAATAAAACACAATGCACGTTATGGCATTTTATTATGAAGACCTTTCATCCACCAGGGACTATATCAATTCAGTGAATTGATAAAGTCCGTACTGGACGAAATATATTTACTATAAAATGCCATAACTATCATTCTGTATTTTATTTACATAATGCTGCTATACTCTACCATTGTAGTACTACACTCTTTGCTCAGAGATAACTTAGATTCCAATATGGTAATGGTTTTCTAGAGCATATATAGCTAAAGTAACAGAATTTCTGTGGAATATAGATAGTGGACCTACTGTAACAGTTGAGTGTCATATAAATTATTGTCCTAACAGGTTTTGCTTTTAAACCTGATAGGGGAACACAGTTTGTCTACCTAAAGTGTTTAGCCTCATACAGTAAGATACCTCCGTGTAAATGTTTGCTCTTTTTCTATTTGTCATTTCTTTTTCAGATTTGTATAACTTGAGAGGATCAGACATAGAATACAACCCAGTGTTTTTCTCTTATGCCTCTGTGACTCAGAATGAAGCCTTTATTTTTATTAATGAATCCCAACTAACATCAGCAGCTAGAGAAGCTCTGCAGACTGAGGAAATCAAAGTCATCATCAAGTCATATGATGATGTTCCCAAGTTTATTGATGATCAGGTTGGTATTCACAATATTCATAGTTTTGTAACATAGATTTTTATTTGCAATACAGTGGAACCTTGGTTTTCGTGATTAATCTGTTCCAGACAGTCTGCCAAAAACCAAAACCATATTCCCCATAAGAAATAATGTAAATCAAATTAATTCGTTCCAGACACCCAAAAGTATTAACAAAAAATAATTTTTTTTGGAGATTAAATATAGATTTACATACAGAAAAGAATGACAAATCAATATAAAGCAATAATATCACACTTACCTTTATTGAAGACTCTTGTTGGTGTATAGAAGACGGGAGGAGGGGAGAGGGAGGAGAAGTTACTATTGTTTGGAAGGGGAATCCCCTTCCATGAAGACTAGGTACTGAGTCCTTATCTGGAGTTACTTCCTTTCTTTGTTTTTTAATGGCACTAGGACCAGCTTGAAAGTCACTGGAACCCTGTCGCTCAAAAAATTTTCCAGAGAGCTCTGTTTCTGGCATCTCTTTAAGATTTGCCTAAAATGGGACAAGGCATTGTCATTGAACATGTCGCAGATACAGCCTATAACAGCTTTGTTAGGGTGATGTCCCTCTACAAAAGTTTGCACCTCATTCCACTTTGCACAAATGTCCTTAATCACTGAAGAAGGCACCTTCTTCTCTCTCTCTCCCTCCTCCTCTGAAGCAGTTTCCTCAGCTGTGGTCTGTTGCTGTTGCAGATGAAGGTCTTGCAGCTCTTCAGTGGTTAGTTCTTCACTGTGGTCCTCCACCAATTCTTCCACATCCTGGCCACTCACATCCAACCCCATGGACTTCCTCAAAGCTACAATAGATTCCACAACAGGCATAGGGTTGTCAGGTGTGTGTGGGGAAGTACCCCGGCTGGTGTGTGGGGAAGTGCCCTGGCTGGTGTGGGGAAGTTCCCTGTCTGGTGTGTGGGGAAGTACCCTGGCTGGTGAGTGAGGAAGTACTCTGGCTAGTGTGGGGAAGTACCCTGGCTGGTGAGTGAGGAAGTACTCTGGCTAGTGTGGGGAAGTACCCTGGCTGGTGTGTGTGGGGAAATACCCTGGCTGGTGTATTCTTTCTTGAACTCTATCGTGTTTCTCACCTTGTTTATTAAAGAGCTGGCACTAGAAGCTTTCTTTGGGCCCATGGTGGCTTATTCAGCAGTCACACGCAATAAACAAGTGCAAAAAAAAATGTATTATTACGAAATGTTTCGTATTACCTCGCAGAGTAATGCTCACTCGCCAAGAAACAATGCCAGACTGACTCTTGAATGCGTCTGTGGGATAATTTGTGTGTGCGGGGCCACTGGGACACATACTGTACAACTGCCGAAATCCAAGGGAAATCAAGAAAACCAAGGCTATATTTTGATGAAAAAGGTTGCCGATAACCAAAATTCACGAAAACTGAGACTCATGAAAACCAAGGGTCCACTTATTTTAAATTTCAAATAGTTACAGGTTTAACAAGTTTTATCGTAGCATACAGTAAAGTAGCTCTACTGAATATAATCAGAGGTCACTCACAGCATTTAATTTCTCTTTATGTATTTACTCTTATTGGGCAAACAATTTTTTTCCTGATCTCGGGTTGAAGAGCGGCCTCTATTTTCTGTCATATCTTGTTTGAGGGCAATGTGTGGTGTGAATATTATGCAGAGACTTTGGAGATTGAGGATTTGATGGGGATGAGGAGGGGATGTTAAGGTGGTTTAGGTATTTAGAGAGGATGAAGCAAAATAGAAAGATTAGGAGGGTGTTTAAACTTGGCAAGGAGGGAGGGAGGGGTAGGACCCATCCCAGGCAAGCTTGGAGGAAGGGGGGGGTAAAGGAGATTTGAGTGCTAGGGGCTTCGACATCCTAAGAGGCTTGTGTAAGTGGATTAGATAGGAGCAAATGGAGGCAAGTGGTTTTTTTATTACTTGGCATGCTGTTGGAGTGTGAGCAGGTTACCACTTATGAAACGATTCAGAAGAAACTGGTTAGCCAGACTTGAGTCCTGGAGTAGGGGGTACAGTGCCTGCACTCTGAAGGAGTGGTGGGAATGTTGAGGTTTGGACAGCCAGTTGATCTGTGATGTCAGCACACTTCTGGCAAGAGGGTAAATGTGTTTTCTCTTTATCTGGGTCAGCCTACCTCTGTGGAAGATGGCCAGAGTGGCAAAAAAAATAAAAATGTAAAATAATAATGTTATTACCTAGTATACCGCAGAGAAAAGAGTGACTCTCATGATAAGCAGACAAAGAATCAAGCCTCTACCACTCCTAGTACTGAATGACCCAAATGTGCTTTGCCCTTCACTTAAGTATAATAATAATACACAGTCTTGTTTCTCATGAATAGTTCTTGGTGGCAAGTTATTTTTATGAGAATATTTGTAAGTTTTCAGGAATATATTGTAGCATCCATTCATGTGGCTTCCTATAAATTAAGTATTCATGTCTCTTTTTTTTTTTTAAGCATAGACAGTGTTTAGAGGATTCTACATGAATCTCTTTTCAAAAAAAGAAGTTACTTTTCAGAGGAAGCAAAGCATCGAGGATAGAATTATTGTTTTTTAAAGTATGAATATTGAATCACTTAATCAGACTTTTAATTGATTTTCTTCATGACATTAGCAACTTTTCCTCATGGTATGGTAACCCAAAGGAAGTACATTAACCATCACTTATTCATTACCTGGCTTTCTCAAGGTGCATTGTCATCAAAAATCAAATAACCTTTTGAACTGCAACATCCCCACCCATCTTTCATTGACATGGGATCTCAGCTTTATAAATACACTTTATAATTAGATAAGATTTTGAGCAAAAAATATTTGGATTGCTTCCTGAAGCAATTTGAATATTCCACTTACCCTACCACCCCAATAATATAGTACACCTCACTTAACCCTTTGCAAGCCAGTGTTGGTGCTGTAGTATTACACCAAAATTCTAGTGGCTTCAAATCTAGCGGGAAAATGATGGTAGACCTACAAGTGAGAAACCATACCACAGATGGGGATAGAACCTGCTATCAGAGAGTCTCAGCACTCCAGACCGTCTCATTAGCTACATGTGAGAGAATGGGTCTGCGTGGTCAGTGTGCACAGTATAAAAAAAATCCTGCAGCACGCAGTGCATAATGATAAAAAAAAAAAAGACTGTGTTTTTAGTTTAAAATGCCAACTTTGAGGTGTATTTATGGGAAGTACAGTGCCTGCACTCTGAAGGAGGGGTGTTAATGTTGCAGTTTAAAAACTATAGTGTAAAGCACCCTTCTGGCAAGACAGTGATAGAGTGAATGATGGTGAAAGTTTTTCTTTTTCGGGCCACCCTGCCTTGGTGGGAATTGTCCAATATGTGTCCAAATGGCCTATCTAATATGCAGTCACAAATAGGTTGACATTATTTATACAATTATTACAATAATGCAATAGTCTCCATAACAGTAAATCTATTTTTTGTGTGAATAAAAATTCATAATGGAAACCAAGAGTAATATAAGAAGGGCCTGGAGATGTGACTGATGAACAGAGAAAAATGTTAATTTAGTGCCAGGAATGTCTGCATTGTTTATTCTGGACCCTATTTTGAAATTGGCATTGTTTGAAATTTGTGTGAAATTGGCCAAATTGCCAATTTCTGACCACTTTATTGAGTAGTTGAAATTGGTAAATGGGTGATTTCTTTTACTCAGTTGATAGCACAAATGGAGTTCTAGTGATATAGCTATGAGTTTGGTCTACTGGAACAATAGCCCTTGTGGTTTAGCGCTTCTTTTTGATTATAATAATAATACTGGAACAATGGAATTAGCTGAAAATTGAGCTCAAAGTGGGCAAAATCGCCACTGCGTTTATATCACCGAGACCACTAACTTCATGAGAGCATAATTCCATAAGATTATCATTTCATAAGAGAATATTTTCTTTGACACTGAGAGCAAGTTTGTGAGCAGGGGTCTTGACAGCGAAAGGTTAATATAGTACACAAGACTGATGGTACACTGATGGTATAGAGTATACAATACATACAATATACAGTATTAAAAACAAAAATGGCTTTGTGATAGAAATGTCATTTTGTTATTTTTTTTTTTCAGCTACTGAAACAGAGTGGAAAAGTTTGGATATCCAACCATGCTTCTCAAGCAGTAACTCAAATGGTTCCTGAGGATAAAAGACTGTCAAAAGTATCACCAGTTGCACTAAGAAAAGCCATCAAGAACACTGTAGAGATTAAAGGTGAATTAGACAACTATTTATGTTTTAAGTATAATTCAGTCTTCCTGCAGGTCCGGTGTTACTTTTCATAATGAAGCTGAAGAACTTAATTTAATGTTTTTTATAAACTGTTGACATATACAGTTATTTTGAGTGAAAAATCTTGCATGAGAGTAAAATCATTGGGGCTGTTAAATTTTCTTTTTATGGTGTAAGAAATGATGTGAATATCATGGGAAACCATAGCAACAAACTTCTTATGGGTAATTATCTCCACTTCTTGGACTCGCCTTTCAGCTTTCAATTAACTGCAGGAAAATAACTTGTTCGATATTTACTTTTAAACCCCCTTTATGAAGTCATCATGTTTACCGTTTTTTTGAAGAAACGCTTGCTTACTTGCGTGTCAGTACTCACCCATATGTGGTTGCAGGGGTTGAGTCTTAGCTTCTGGCCTTGAATCTCAACTTACCATTAGCCTTGAGGGCATTATTATACCTATTCTTAAAACTGTGTATGTGGGGAATCTGCCTCTGCCACTTCTCATTGAAGTCATTCCACTTCCCGACCACCCTGAGATTGAGGAAATACCTCCTGACATTCCTGTGACTCATCTGTGTCTCCAGTATCCAGCTGAGCATATGAGCACTTGTTTCCTGTCTGCCCTATCAATTTCTCTGAGTATTTTTGTATGTTATGTCCTCCCTAGTCCTTCTGTCCTCTAGGGTCATTAGATTCATAGACACATATTGGGTCACAAAATAATTTCTTTCCAGGGACAAAATACTGTGCTACTTGCTAATCATTCATTAGTTCAAATTACCATGAGTAACACTGTTCTTGGGTTGAAGGGCTACTCCAGTTCATTATTAAGGACTTTTAACAATAAACTCACCTCACTGCTGGCCCAAATAAAAGTTTAAGTATCACTCAGTATAAGGTATACCTTTGATGAGTTCCAAGAAATTTTTTACTCCCAGAGCCTGGCCATGGGCCTGGCCATGGGCCAGATGAGCCTGGCCATGGGCCAGGCTCATCTGGAGCTTGCTTGGTCAACATGGCTGTTGCTAGTGGTGGTCTGCTGATCCACATCCATCACAGCCTGGTTGATCTGGTAGTTGACATCTGGGTCAAAATGTGCACATCCAGTAGGAGAGAGATAAACAACATACTCATAGTTTGGTAAGAAAATGAAGGAGTAAGGTTCTTTTAGGAGCAAAAATGGAGGCAGTAGAGAAAGTATTTAACAGTGTCTGGCTGAGTGGGCCACCCAAGACAATAATGGCTGGCCACCATTCTGAGAGAGGAAAGAGGAACTGTAAGTTTAGGTGTGCCCAGTATGCAAATTGTTCAGTTCTGTATCCATTGTCCACTTAAGAATAGTGAGCCCAGGCAAGGACCAGAAAAAGATTGGATCAGGCCCAGTTATGGTATCATGAGGAAGGCCTCACTTTCACCTGTCAGATGGCATAGTTACTGCCAAACCACTGAGATGAATCTTCAAAGGTTTAAGCTCATTACCTGCATGGACTAAAAGGAGTTTGTCCTGTCTATGAATCTTTATACAGTAGGGCCCCGCTTTTCGGCGTTTCACCTTACGGCGTTCTGCTAATACGGCGATCTCAAATTATGACCAAAACTTTCTATATGGCAAGCGGTCTTTCAAATACGGCACTCGCCACCTGGTTTGTTTACATTCTCCATGAGCACATCTCTCTATTATGTAATAACCACCCTTAAGCACAGTAAATGTCTAATTTTACGTCAATATAGGCATTTTCATTAATCCATCTATGATATTTTCTTCAAAATTATGTAAGAAACACATTGCATAGCATATAAACATTTTATGTTTATATACTATGGAGGTGTGGTAGCCGGGCGGAGGGAAAACATTACGTCACTCCCCTTAACACGTAACGCTTTTGTTTACGATTCTTGGCATGAATTATTCATTACTTCTCCCTTTGTTTATGATGGCATCTAAAGGTAGTTGTTAGAAATGATTAAACTCAGTGAACATGGTATGTCGATGGTAATAGTATGTCTCTGGGCCACATTAAATATCGTGTAGCTATGTAGGTAGGTGTAGGTATGTAGCCCCGGAGGACTACATACCTACATTATTATTATATGTAACTGATATTTATATTTATGTGTTCCTGTACCTAAGTAAACTCACACTGTGCTGGCATGCAGGTACATATGAAAATCACTAAGAGTGTCTTATTAATCTTGAAGATGCCATATTAATAATAATAATAATAATACCTAGGTAGTAAGTTGCTAGACAGCAACCGCCCAGGGAGGTACTACAGTCCTGCCAAGTGAGTGTAAAATGAAAGCCTGTAATTGTTTTACATGATGGTAGGATTGCTGGTGTTTTTTTTTTTTGTTGTTTTATTTTCTGTCATAAACGTGCAAGGTTTCAGGTACGTCTTGCTACTTCTACTTACACTTAGGTCACACTGCACATACATGTACAAACATATATATATACACCCATCTGGGTTTTCTTCTATTTTCTTTCTAGTTCTTGTTTATTTCCTCTTACCTCCATGGGGAAGTGGAACAGAATTCTTCCTCCGTAAGCCATGCTTGTTGTAAGAGGCGACTAAAATGCTGGGAGCAAGGGGCTAGTAACCTCTTCTCCTGTATATATTACTGAATGTAAAAGGAGAAACTTTCGTTTTTCCTTTTGGGCCACCCCGCCTCGGTGGGATACGGCCGGTGTGTTGAAAGAAATAGACTTATATTTATGTGTACCTGTACCTAAGTAAACTTACACACTGTGCTGGCATGCAGGTACATATGAAAATCACTAAGAGTGTCTTATTAATCTTGATGATGCCATATTAATAATAATAATAATAATAATAATAATAATACCTAGGTAGTAGGTTGGTAGACAGCAACCGCCCAGGGAGGTACTACCGTCCTGCCAAGTGAGTATAAAATGTAAGCCTGTAATTGTTTTACATGATGGTAGGATTGCTGGTGTCCTTTTTTCTGTCTCATGAACATGCAAGGTTTCAGGTACGTCTTGCTACTTCTACTTACACTTAGGTCACACTACACATACATGTACAAGCATATATGTATATACACACCCCTCTGGGTTTTCTTCCATTTTTCTTACTAGTTCTTGTTCTTGTTTATTTCCTCTTACCTCCATGGGGAAGGGGAACAGAATTCTTCCTCCATAAGCCACGTGTGTCGTAAGAGGCGACTAAAATGCTGGAAGCAAGGGACTAGTAACCCCTTCTCCTGTATATATTACTAAATGTAAAAGGAGAAACTTTTGTTTTTCCTTTTGGGCCACCCCGCCTCGGTGGGATACGGCCGGTGTGTTGAAAGAAAGGAAGAAAGAATAATAATACCTAGGTAGTAGGTTGGTAGACAGCAATCGCCCAGGGAGGTACTACCGTCCTGCCAAGTGAGTGTAAAATGGAAACCTGTAATTGTTTTACATGATGGTAGGATTGCTGATGTCTTTTTTCTGTGTCATAAACATGCAAGATTTCAGGTATATCTTGCTACTTCTTCTTACACTTAGATCACACTACACATACATGTACAAGCATATACAGTGGGCCCCCGCCGTTTGGCAGCCGCGACTTTCGTGAAATCTGACTTTCTGCAAGTTTTTTCGGCAAAATTTAGCTTCGTGGTTCGTGATTGGACTCCGTCAGCGCACACACAAAGCCAGTCTCCCGCACTATTCACACTCAATGTGCCATTGTTTACCAGCATGTGACCATCACCCCATGGGTTCATACAACACATTTCATAATAATTCATTGCTTTTTGTGCTTGCAACTGCTAAATAAGCCACCATTGGCCCAAAGAAAGCTCCTAGTGCCAGCCCTTTGGTAAAGAAGGTGAGAAACACGATAGAATTCAAGAAAAAACTCATTGCAAAGTACTAAAGTAGAGGAGGAAGAGAGAGGAGAGAATGTGCCTTCTGCAGTGATTCTTTAATATGTATGATACTAAAGCAGCAGGTATCAATAAAGGCTATAGCTCCAGCCAGCGATAAAGTGTAGAATTAACAGTGTAGCAAATAAGTTAAGCGAGTAAGCAATAGAAAAACAACATGAGAGTAACTCTCCAATGTTGTTGGATGTGTATAGGACTGCTGAACATACACCACCCTGCTATCTTCCACCACCCTAAACCTCTGCCAACATCTCCTTCATCAAGCTAACTAATTAACCCTTTGGGGGTTTCGGCCGTACTAGTACGGCTTACGACCCAGGGTTTTTGACGTACTAGTACACCTAAATTCTAGCGCCCTTAAATCTAGTGGGAGAAAGCTGGTAGGCCTACATATGAAAGAATGGGTCTATGTGGTCAGTGTGCACAGTATAAAAAAAATCCTGCAGCACACAGTGCATAATGAGAAAAAAAAAACTTTGACCGTTTTTTTGGAATAAAACAGTGACTTTGCACTGTATTTTCGTATGGTATTTATTCTTGTATTCTAGTTTTCTTGGTCTCATTTTATAGAATGGAAGACATATTACAGAAATTGAGATGATTTTGACTGGTTTTACAATGAAAAGTACCTTGAAATTGAGCTCAAAGTAGCAGAAATGTTCGATGTTTACCAAAGTTCAAAAGCAAACAAATCATGCCAAGTGTCCAATACACGTCAACTAGTGAGTCTAATATTCTTTCACAAGTGCGCCAATATTATTTATACCATTTTTTACACTAATGCAGTAGTCTGCACAACAGTAAATCTTCTATTTTTTGTGAGAATAAAAATTCAAAGTGGAAAGCAAAAGAATGTAAGAGGGGCCTTGAGACATGACAAATGAACAGAGGAAATGTCATTTTAGTGCCAGGAATGTCTTGTTTATTATGGACCCTATTCAGAAATTGGCATCTTTTGAAATTTGTGTGAAATTGGCAAACTTGCTAAATTCTGACCACTGTACTGGATAGTTGAAATTGGTAAATGGGTGGTTTCTTGCACTCATTCGATAGAAAAAATGGAGTTCTAGAGAAATATTCAT